CATCAACGCATTTCAAGCACCGCGAAAAAGCCGTCGCGGGAATCCAAGTTGGGGTAGACGCGCGCATACGCACATCGTGGAGTTCTGCGCTCAGTGTGTTTTCCACATCCAACTCTCAGGGACCTACAGTTCTTGTTGAAGGGTGGCTTTGAGCAGAGACCCCATACAGCAGACTTTTGGCACAGGGGTAGGCACCTGAGGAAATATGCCCCCAGGCGCATATCCCCAGCGACATTTGCGCACGCGATGCTGGGGAAGATGCCTGCGTCCTGGGACCTAGAACACACTTGCAAATAACTACCTCATGGCTATCTGGTTTTCCGTCCTACCTTTGATTGCACCCCATGCGCACCAAACTGCTTGACTAAAAAGTCTACTTACGCGCTTTACGCTAGAAACAACCCTGGCATTATCCATATCATCATCCCAAGCGCCTGTGAATGAGATTCTGTACGTAACCGCAATGATCTCCAAACTCCTGTCACTCCCCGGCGGCCTGCGCCTCTAGGCGGTTGGCCTCCTGGCTGGCCGCAGCTGCCTCCTGTAGCTCGAGAACCAAGAACCGAACTTAGCGGGTGGGTTTGGGATGACAATGCAAAAGCCCTATCTGAAGGCTCATGGGTTGCTTCGCGTGTGGCCAAACCAGATGTACCAAGTATACCTCAGAACGCCCAAGCCAGGGAATTAACAAGCACTAACTATGCAGGTATGCTCGAAACCTCAACAGTAGACCCACTTCCACCCACTACATCTCACATGCCAGCTGCTGCTGCAACTACTTCTCCCCCCGCTACAGTACCTACTGCTACTACCATTGCCGCCGCTGCCACCACCACCGCCGCTTCCCCCCCTTCATCGCCACCACCATGATAACCAGCGCTACTGCTACCGACACCACACTACAGACTCTGACTGGCGCCCTAAACTGAAGCCTACAACCGTGACTTACTCTGTGAACGTCTTCCCAAAACCTCGAAAGTCCTTCTCGAGCTTTGCGCGCAGCCCCGCTTCCTCCTGCTGGGATGACCGAATACGCTCCTGAGCTGGCGTTCAGGTTGTCGTCTTCGAATGAAGATTGCAAGGTTTGAGCTTCGGGTGTTGAGGGTTGGAACTAGGGATTGACAGAGTTTAAGCTTAGGGTTGTGCCGGGATCATGCATTGGGTTTCCTGGAAGCTGCACGCAAGGGTTGTTGATGTGTAGAAGTTAAAGTATCACGCTCTAGGGTGCAGATTCGGTGTTCGGCCCTTGAGCGGAAGAATCATGATCCATTTGGCATGACAAGATAGGGACTGCATGGTAGCTGTGGCAAATTCTGAACTCTCTGTGGAGATTCTGACTCAGCTGTAAGTAAATGGACAGCCTCAGATAAACATATGATGTAAAGTACTCAATCTGTTTGCTAAACCGTCTGGGTCTCCTTCATCTCCTCCTCCACTTTCAGCCGGACCTGCACCGGAAGAGGAGAAAAAACTGCGTGAGTTTGAAGAGACTTCGAATGTTCTGTAAAACAAGGACTTCCACTCTAATTGGGTAAATGTCCCTTCTTGGACGTCTGCTTGAAGTCTGGTCGGAACATGGGCCCAGCATCAAGTGCTATGGGGCATGACTGTCAGCAATGGCTACTCTACGCATGGTACAAAGCTAAAGGCACTGGAAATTGGCACTCAGAATGTCGAAGCTTCGGCCGCAAGAACACAAAGAATCTTGGCCATTGAGTACATGCCTCACAATCAGAATCATTATCGTTATCAACAGAATGCTGCGCAGCCTTGCCTGGCGCTCAATCTCTGCAGGTGAAGTCTCCTGGCCACGTCTAGAAGCGAAAATCCCACTTAGGGATCCTAGGCAGGCGCAGATCGTAGGGGTCCCCATTTGAGATTACTTAGGGTTTTTTCAGCTCCACTTCGATCATGTACCATACGGCCTTTGCGAAAGATTTTCTCTGCCATGTTCTTGTTGCGCTGCATTTAAGTTCACAATTTGAAAGCATCATCAACAGCGAGTCCAGTATAAACTGGCAGCCCCCAGCTGTGAGCAGCAGAATATCCAAGACGTTCTAGTGCAGATGCTGAAGGTCTCTACACCAAGATAATCAATCGGTCACGCGCGGCCACTAGTTCCCGTAGATGCTCCCTCATGCTAAGCTGTAAGCCAGCCCCAAAGTGACCCGAAGCCCGGCGTACCCCCCTAAGCCGATACCTCTGCTGGCCAAGAACTGACCCAAAGAACACGGTAAACGGAGGGTATGAGGGCTCAGGGCACTGGTGGTAGAAGGCCACAAAACTCAAACCCGCCTGAACCTTGGTTATGGTTGCGTGTTGATCCGTCCTGGACAGCCTTTGGCGGAACAGCTGGCGCAGTCTGCGTCTTGACGCCTGGGCTGTCTGGTGTTTAGGGCTGCTGGATGAGCGAATAGGTGAGACACGTCTCCTAGCAATGGCTGTGGGCTGGCTGTGGGGATCCCTTTGGGAAGATTCGGAGAAAACCTGGCAAGCTGCAGGACTGCACCAGCGTAAATACCGAACTAAACAGACATGAGATCTAGGTCAACATTGTGTTGATCTGTGAATCTGCGACTGACACAATGCACGGCTCCCGCCCTCGTTCTGTCTGAAATTGTACGGAGGTGAGATGGCTTGGCTGCAGTAAAAAAAAACACAGGATCCTGAAGAATACTGACTTGACTCGCAGATCCCGACTGTACTGAACAGCGGGCTGATTCAGCCTGGCTCCGATTGACATTAATGTGAAGATGTACAAGGACTGTACCGCGTAGACATCTTCTTAGCCCAAATAAAATTCGCAAGTCAACCTTGGGCCGTCAGCCCATTGCCAAGGAACTTTTTGCGCATGCGCTTCCTAGAACTGGACACGGTGTTCAAGTCTTTACACGCGAGGTTCCAGGACACTCGTGCCATAAGCAAAAGATTCGCCTCACAAGGTTGACCGGCTCTTCCACTTCGGGAGAAACCTGCAACCCTGCAGGTTGATTTCTGAAATAATGGGAACACTTTAAAAAATGTGTTTTTGGGGGTGAGGCAGATAAGGGGTCTGTGACTTGAAGCAAGTGCCCAGACATGTGAGGACACAAGTTGAGCAGGCCCCCCCCCCCCTCCCCAAAAGCAGACCATCATTTTCGAAGGTCGACCAGCTCCAAGCAAACTGGGACGAAATGCTGACCTGGGCTGTCTGGAATAGGTGAGCTTGGTCTGAACACCGGGATTCCTAAGCTACCATTTTGAGGCATAAGGGCAAGCTGTCCATTGAGATGTACTAGCTACAGTAAAACGCATGTTCCCTTCACATGCCCCATGCTTGCTTTAAGTTAAGATCAAACTTGCAAGCCTATATAACAATTCGAGCAGGAGGCGCAACATGCTCTCATCATAGAGAGACATATGGGATGTTTTTGAAGTGTTCCCAGAATGGTTCAAAATGAGGTTTCCCCTCTGTGTCACCTCGTGTCTGAAGCTTGAAAGTGACTTACTAACAATCGCAAGTCAGGAAATGACCCTAAACCCAGTTTAACTTCCCTGGAGTCGCCTGGGGGCCTGGTTTGTAAGGTTGCTACAAAGATCCCTGCAGACCCTTTGATAAACCCATACAAGTAGAAAGCTAACCGGACAGCGATCCAGAATCCTTAGTCTCGATCCTAAGGCCTGTCTGTAGCAATCTGGCTTCCACGTAGTGTACGCTTACACTTGAACATGATTGTGTGGGCGTGTCCAATCTCAGAGCCTCTTGCACTTCAGGGCCTCGGGTCAACCAGTCCCCCCTAGGAAAGGGGTGTTCGTAAATCAAATCTGTTCTTATGGCTGGGAACTTCGGTCTAGCAAAAATTCCTCAGGGGAGTCTACGACACAAGCCTGAACTGCCTTGACATAATCCTAGACCTCCCTACCTTTGAATCATGAACCTTAACATGAAGCCCTCACCTCCAACCATTTTTTCGTGAAGCTGTAGCTATACCTCTACGCCATACCCTTAAGCCTTAGCACTAATGACTAATCCCTATAAATCCTCAAAGCTCAAGCCCCTAAACCCTAAAAGCCCTGAACTCTTCACTCTTGCGCAAGTAAGCCCAGCAAGCGGCCTGCATCAAAACAAGCGCTGTCGCTGCCTTCGGGGGCAGCCCATGGCTCCCAGGCCGGGGCCATGCTCCGTAAGCTCCTCTTCGGTCCTCAAGAAGAGGGCACCCCAAGGCCCCCTTTGGCTTCCTTTTATTTAGGAACAGGTAGGCGGAATTAAAGCTACTTTGCGGGGAACCTAAGGGAAGTTTTGAACCCATGAATGAAAGCGGTGGAGATTGGAGCTTAAAGGGTTCTCGGCTTTTGCTTAAGGTTCACAGATAAGGGCAAGCAGGTTTTTAGGGTTAACTGTTCGGGGTAGGGTCTGCGGCTGTCACAGGGCAATTGTTGGGACTTCGTGCTCTTGAAAGCCCTGCCCCAAAATCCAACGGCAAACCAACGCCAACCTCAGGCCACCGCGACTGTTGCCCGACATGCACAGCAACAAACAAGGTTTCCAAAACAGGCCAGCAACAGGAGGTGGTACGGCTTTCCCTGAACCTTAGATGTGGTCTGCATGGGGTTTTGGGGGGCCCCGAAGCATACGAGCGCGGAAAACTGGAAAACTTGAAGCACCATGACGCACATCCTGGAACCTGCACACTCTGCAAACAGCTTTCAAGAAGCCAGCTGAGCCAACAAAGGGCCCTCCTCAGAAATTTGCTCCATGAGCTTCACGGCAGCAAGCGGTCCGGGCGCCTCCATGCTTCCATACCCCGGCTCATAGCGAGTTTCCAAAGAGGTATGGCTCAAAGGCTTGATGGCCGGAGGAAAGCATTCGCGGTCGACTTTAACAGATTCTAAAAGTCTGTCTTGGGATGTATAAGATCGTCAAGTTGTGGGGCTCGACATCTCTGAAGACATCGTTTCAAGAAGGTTTAGGGGTTGCGTTATTCGAAGAGGACCGCCCACATCTGTTGGACAATCTTGGCCTTCTTCAGCTGCTCTGAGACGTCCTTGGCCTGTGTTCAGGGCAATGTCTGGGCTTCAGCTTCCGTGTCTCAGGCTTCAGGATGCATACCGGCGATATGAAGCTTTAGGGTAAAGACGTTGCGGCCACTGCTCCATATTTCATGCGAGCGAGTGCCCAGTCCCAATCATGCGCTAGTCTGAAAATGTTTCATGCCCTGCATCCAAATTTGACAGTGGTCATTGGCGGTGAGGTCGTTTTCATGTGAGCAATACCCCATGTCTGGTTACTATGTGCCTGCCGCAATCTCTGGCTCAAGACGGCTCTACCGGGAATACCTCACTCCGCTTTGTCTCTTTAACCTACATAGCTGAAGCGTCCGTCTATGCCACCGGCGTGATCCATAGATGGGCTGATGTATAGACCGCGTGTCTTTCCTGTGTTTCTACACAAATTCCGCACATTTCTACAGCTGGGTCCTTGCACTGATAGCTGCCAAGGTTGTCCACCACATCCTTCATGGAGGCCAGAATGGGGGAAGGGCTGGGTTCCTCTTCCGTCACCCGTTGGAAATCTCCCAACATGCCCAACAATAAATATGCTCAGAACTTGGCAAATCCTTCCTTGTACCATCCACCCGAAGCTCCAAACCCTACATTCCAGTTCAAGTGCTTGGTATATCCTGCACGGCATTCCGGATCTGTCGTGCCCCGGCACGTGCAGGATTCAGCATTGGCCCGCATCCCTTGCCATGCCTGAGCTGGGATATTGCTGCAAGGGGCGACCATGGTACTTCAGGGGCATACTGTTGGTTGTTGGTAGGAAATAGAGGATTGCCGCCGCCCTATAGTAGTCACTACATGCGCATATGATAATTTCCGTTTTCTGTTCTCTTCCCTCATTCCCAACGGACAAACAAGCAAATCCATCAAGATGCAGGATCTTTGCATTCATCATCTGGTCGCCAAAGCCTGGAATTGCCGGAACGGTCCGCGCATGCTTTCAGCCCTGGAACCCCAAGTCTCATTCGGCGAAAGTGGGAAGTGGCCTGCAAAAAGGATGCGCACGATAAGGGATGAACTTCTCGGACAATGGGTGCTTTCAGATCCACAAAGGGCTCAAAGAAAGTTTTTGAACTCAGCCCTTCTTCACCTCTCCAGAAAGCCCTGGCCTGGATAGCAGATGACAGGCTTCCCAGCACCCATGCACTCCAGCGTGCCGCCCCAACCTGTACCGCACGCATGGCAAAAAAGCGACTGCAATGTGGGGTGCATGATGCACGAAAAGCCAAAGGGCATGAGGCCAGCTTGGCCTGACATTAGCTAACCAGTATATCTCTCAATAAGAATAAGCAGGGTGGAAGCATGTCTGCACAAAGATCTTGTGTGTGGGCGTCCTAGCTTTTTGTTGCCCCATCCCCTCACCCCTACTGCCCAAATCCCCCAACCAAGCAGCCACAGTGGGTGAGGACGGCCGAAAGGTCTTCGAGGCCCAAAATCTCGATTTGAGGCATCCACCCACTGACAAAGAACTTCTCTGGCAACTCGGGCAACAAACTCTGCTTCCTGAGGTTCTGAGTTTGGCTTGACGGAACGCTGGAACCCAAGGAGCCAATCTGCAAAAACTACGACGTTGGTTTTGTGATTCTGGAGTTTGGGAAATGAAACTCAGGGTTATTAAGCTTAGGACCTTAGGAAGTCCTGCTTCTCAAGCACTTGTTACAGATCCTTTGACGGCTGTACTCTGTTGAGTTGAGTCTATGGTTGATGCTGTCTCCCGCTGCCCTTTTGGTTAGCGCCTTGCAGACCTCCGTCAACAGCTAAAATGTTTCAACGCTTCCGGACATCTAAGTCATGGGTCCACCACCAGCATCACCATCACCATCATGCAGCTGGAAAACCGCGCTCAAATCAGTGATCCTGAGCGCGGGGTTCTGGGAGGTCGTGGGAAATCCGTCCCCAAATTGTTCCCAAGGGGGCTCTGCAACAACAAGAGATGAGTTCATCACCCCCTGACATAGTGCATCCTAGGCTCTCTTGCTTCAAGGACCAGATAACCCAGACATCGCAGGCAGCGAAACCCTCGTACAATGCCAGAACCTGCTGCTCAGTCAAGTCCAGAAGACTTCCAGTGGTGATGTAGAAGATTGGCTTCCTCAGCTGGGAACTTCCTCAAAATGGAAGACCTTTGCGGGCAGTAAACATAATATGTTGTAAATGATAAAGGCCCCCAAGAAGGGCTCCATAGAACATGCTGGGATAAAGCTCCTCCTCAGGCGTGTGGTTTCGGGTGTAAAATTGCACCCATCAGTGAATTGAGGGGTAAGCCGAAACTACGCCTCAGAACGGCGTGATCTGGAAAACGCGACGCCCACATAGTCAGGTAAAGTGTCCTTTATCTCTTCAGTCAGTCTGTTTCAAGCGCCTCTCATTCCTGCATAAGCAGGCAGGAGAACGAGATAGAACCAGAATCGCTAGTACACTGGGCAAGCTCAACCATGAATAGTACACGTGGGCCATTCGCTAGTAGTTGGGTTTTGGGGGATGTGTCTGGACTTCTGCGTAGATGGCCGACTCGCTGCCGTAGAGGCATTTCTCATACGTCAGATTTCCAGAAGCAGGCTGCTGGATAGTTGGCTCACTGAGCTCGATTCTGGGGTGAGAAGTAGGGAAACCTATCGCCAGAGGCGGACATGTGCTTTTGGGCACCCCATCATACAGCGCAGTGACCAAGCTCCCTTCGCAGAATCTACAGAAACAACCTTGAGACGTGCTGACCTGGCAAAGCAAATGAGAAAGTCCAATAATCTCAGTCCGGGAAATGTCACAAAGTTCTCGGCGCAATTTGGGGAGAGCAGCTGACAAGGTTCTGTTGTTGGAAGGTTGGAAGGGACCTTGATGTTGAGCAAATGGCCGAAGTCATGTACATCACATCACTCACGGGCCGCCAAATCAGTCAGACCCCCTGGGAAACTATAACACACCATAATGTACCATAATGTACTATACTATACCATAGTATACCAGACTCTCCTGAAAAAGGTTTGTAAAGGAACCTAGGTGGTCCTTTTGAGAGGGTCTTTCAGATCTGTGGAGCCCTATTTGAGATCCTATTACGATTTAATGAGCACAACCGGCTTTGCGGTAATGATATCATACTTTTCTAGAGACAGAAGGGTCAGAAGGGGATAGCACGGGTTTTTTGGAAGACGGGGAATTATTTAACTTCCAATTACAAGGGTGTTGCAATCCCAGTTTCGTCGCTGCGCGGGCCTTGCTGAGCCAGGCAAGAAGGTCCGCATGCTTGCTCTCTTGCAGCGGTTTGACCTGAAATTGGCCCCATATTAAGCTTCCCTACTCATCAGAAGCTTTCCCAACTGTCTGAAGTTGTTGGGCCCAAGTTTGTCAACAGAATGGGATGGTGGCTTCAAACGCAAAGCAGGCCAACTCAACGGTCAAGTTCTGGTTCAACCGGAATCATCATCATTTGATGCTACTGGTGCGACCTCCAACTGAAGACCCATTACCCAAAGCATTTGTTGATACTATATATAGTTTCCCAAAATAGGGGGACCCCAATATAGACCCCAAAATACGCTAATCCTCAACTTATTACCCCCAATTTTGGGAAACCCTAAGAACTAAACCCTATACAACCTCCACATAACCCTGTATACCCCTCGTGTAACCCCTATATCCCCTTTAAAGGTACGCCTAATATATCCTCAGGTAGCACTCCTGTTTTAAACAGCCGCACACAGTACCGTGCCTGGAAAGTCTCCAAGGATCCAGACCTCAAGCAGTATATTTAGGGTCAATGTTAATTAATAGAGAGTTTAGGGATATATAAGGGTTATATAAGGATAATGGAAAAGGTCATGGAAACTACTATGATGAGGTTATTTATGGTTTAAAGGATATTAATAATTTGGGTCCTGCCCCCACTTGTTAACAGCCAACAATAGGGTCATATTAAGGGATATATCTGGGGCAGTACCCAAAGTATATTGGGTCTTCGTGGTTAAGCAAAGTAACATAGGATTGTTCTTACAAAGTACTACGAGCAAAAAGATAAACATAGTCTGACTTTTAGTAGGGGAAATTCGTATGCCCCTTTGACATACTTATGTCAGGTTGACAAGATTTGGCAATGCCAGTGTTTTCATATGAGCTATAGTCCAAATCACCCTGAATAACCCCTATAATACTGCATATATAACCCTCCTTCACTACTTTGAAGCGAATTCCACGGACAACTGTTGGAATCATCTGCCAAAATTACATTCCCTGAATATATAGGGTTATGGGTTATGTAAGGGATCCGTATCGTGAATCTTATTCTATGCGCGAACAATGAATTCGACCACTCAGGGCCCCACAGGAAAAAGTTGGGCGGCAAGGGCTCGTCAGCGCCCAAGGCAGTGCAGTCGTTGACAATGCCTTGAGCAATTCCGGCACACTTGCAAGGATCTGGATCGTATGACAACTCACATGCGTTTTTTGGACTTGGGAACGGTTTCCAAACTTGGCCACGATGCTGAGTGTTCGCTGCATTGCGACACCTGTGTTCCGGGACATGAATTCCAGCATTTCCGTTTCATCGGGCTTGATAGTCCTTGTTGCTCTCCTATACGACAAAGAAAGCAATTGCACATTGACTGACCAGCCGGCCAGACCACAAAACACACACTTCCCCTCTTTGAACAAGACTGCAATTTTGGAACCTTATAGCAAAAGTAGTCTTCTGAAACAATCAAGCCACTTGGCAAGAAACAAAATTGCAAGATTCTGGAGCTTGAAGAAGGCCTGTACTGCTGTGGCCGGAACCGCCATGTTGATAACAAGCGGCACATTCTTGGCCCGAGCCTGGACCATTGCAAGGTTGAAAGTCTTAAGCCCAATTTGTAAGCTCAGGTTGAGAATCTGGAGTTTTGTTCCAATGTGCTGTTTTGACTTCTGGTGACGTGGCAAGGGCAAGGCCTCAACCATTTAGGACCTATGACGGGTTCATTGCCAGCAAATTATCCGTCCCTACAGAGCCTACTTTTGCACAACCGTAGAAGCTCCCGCGCTAACTCTTTATTAGCCTCCCCGAATTCAGCACTCTAAATCAATCGTAAACGTACATAATGACTTTTAAATCGCACCGGCAACCACATACTGATAGCAACACGGCTCAAAACTACCAATGCAAACACCCAGTAGCACTGGCAAAGCCAGCGCCGCTTGCGAAGTCAGACAAGACCAGTGAAGGATTCAGGGTATCCTTGGCTGCTTTGAACTGCCCTGCTGAAGCTGTAGGCTGTAGCCTCCAACTCAAGGTGCCCAAACAGCTGGTGGCAAACGGCCAGAATCCAAAATCTATGGAACAGTTCTACAAAGTGTCAACCAGCGCCGTGAGCAGCGGTGTGTGAAGTTGGCTCATCTCCTCCGGGCGATTTTGGGGTCGACTATAGAGGGGAACTGTAGGAGGCAACCATGCAGCCTATACTAAGTCTGTTGAAGCCTTGAGAGGTGAAGCCAAGTAAGACAAACATATAAGAGAGTTGCACCTTACGATGTTCACAACCATTAGATTCTTCTTGCGGATTGTTTTCGCATCTGGAAATAGCCAACGCCAAAAACATGCCGTGAATTAATTTGCTGACAAGCACTTGAAGCACCATTGAAACAATGCTCGTCCCAGATCCAACTCTCCCTCCGCAAGTCTACGATATTCCATGATTTTCCGGCGCCAAAAGAAAGAGGTGTCCAGAGCCCACAGTATACCTGCGGCTTGCTGTTCCAGAAGACTTTGTTGTGCTTCGGAGCCCCACACAAAGATCTGATTTCCACCTCTATGAAGCCCCCGAAGACCACTACAGTACCTACTCTAAAGCCTATGAACCCAAGACCGCGTAGGATTAAGGGTTCAGGGTTGTATAACAAGAGCACCTCCGCTGACACAGTGCAGACCCAACACCCCTGCAGAGCGTTTCATCAGAACACCTCAGAGACCAACTAGACCTACCTGACAGGGTATTTCTGCAAGCCAAAGCCCATTAGCTATTTATTTACACCCAACAAAACAAACCCATTTGCTGTGGACACCCCATGCGCAAGAGTGTTTTGAATAAATCTCCTCGAAGCGAGGATTTTTGGCCGCGTCAGGGGTCTTGAGCTTCTCCTCCGTCAGCCCATCCTCCAAACCGTGGAAGCTGAAGCGGCTACCTGTAGGGAAGGACTTAGGCACTTATAGGCTTTAGGTCCATGCAGGGGTCAAGGTTTGAGGGCGTATAGCCTGTTTGGTGCCTTCAGCAAGAGGCTTCAGAGGCAGCTTAAGAACCCGAATTGGAGAACTCATAGGATTTAGCCCTGTGAGTTCGAGGAGGGGTTGAATGGTGTAGTGTAGTCTTGAGGTGGGAGTTTAGGGCTGAAAGTATGAGAATCCCCTGTTCGATTCCTTGAGGCGAGGCATAAGGTTCTGGGATTGCCGGAGCAGGCCAGAATGTATAAGCAGGAAGGAGAAAATGTACAGCAGCGCTTCCCAATTCTGATCAATGCTCAAGGCAAACACCTCTAAGCTGGAGTTCCGTTTGAGATGCTGAACAATTAACAGGGCATGGTGCCCTGCCTTTCAGACCGCCCTGCACTCACTGACTCATGACGTCGTCACTTCTTTGAAGCTGCCTCCTGAGGAATCAAGTCCAAAGCACACACAATACGCCCCGCAGAGTTCTCAGTAGGCCGTGCATTCCTCCTCTCGCAGCTGCATGTCCAGTCTACGCTGCAACCCACATATTCCCCACATGGTGCCACCTTGAGAACTTCGGCAGGGAGCGCGTACACCCTAAAAAGAAGTAATCATTAACACCTGCGAAGTAAATTTGCTAGAGGACACCAAACCAGAATGTCCAGCTTCTTGGAAAATTCTAAGTCCTTTTCCTCCAAGCCCCTATGCACCCCCGAAATCTTTCCTACAAAGCCCACAGGGGACCCATACTTTGAAGCTGTACCCAGGAAAGTCCCAGGCTGCACAATCCTCACAAACATCCTACAAGGTCCAGCCCAGAAACACCCCCCAAAAAAACCCTTATAAGCATTTGAATCCACAACCTGTGTCCAAATTGTCCCAGGTGCCAGAGCACGTGTTGGCAAGCTTGGGAGCTAAGGCTGCGGAGGTTGAGAAGGTGACCTCCGATGCTTCCAGCGCATTTTTTCCCTGGGGATCCAAGTCTATAAATAAAATCCACTTTGGAACCCAAGGTCTAGAAATGGTATGATTGTTGGGCTTCGTAGATCTCCAGATTATGGTTTATACGGTTGTGTACACCGGGTATTTGATGGTTCATCAGTGGCTGTACCCGCCTTATAGGTTTGCTTATTACTGGCCATGATCTACGCCTTGTGTAGAAATTCAGTACTTTGAGAAATTCCCATATGGACTCTATCTAAAGGCTCAAAAGGCTCCCTTTTAACTATCCTAAACCCTAAACCCCAACTTTCTACGGAATTCCCTTAATCCAGACATGTCAACTATCTTCGATCGACCTCATGGCCCCGGCTCGCCAAGGCCGTGCAAAGGCGGAGAACTGGATTGACATGGCCCATCCTCATTGGCTTTGGGTTACTGGCGCTTAACGGGATTGGGGGAATGAATAAAGGTATAAATGCGGATTGTATAGGGATTATTATAAGGATCCACTCCCCCACTCTCCCTTGTAAGCGCCAGAAAGTTGGGTTTAAGGCTTCGGGAACAGTACGGATCCTGTTACCTGATGCTTAGGAATTCTGGTGCTACAGCAAAGGTCATGTAAGGTTTTTTCCATTCACCCCATCCCGCCGCCCCTTTCTTAACCAATATTCCCCTATGGTACAACTACAATTTATTGATGTTAATTAGGGATGCGGCTTGACATTTGTGGAAGGGGACTAGTCGCCTCTCTCTACTAATCCTACCACCAAAGTAGTCAACTTTTCCCCGTATAATATAGTACGAGGTGAGTGACTATACCAACATATACAAGTGGAACATATGAAGATCGAGGGGTTTTGTTAAGAGAGCTGATGTACAAAGACCATTGCGTCAAGTGCTGCATATCTAGATGGAAGGCAGATCCTTTCGAGCAACATCTTCCAATGAAGACCCGGCAGCATGGGAATGGCATAGGCCACGACCTTCTTCTTCTCAGCTGCAGGTCCATTCATTGTGAACAGGCTCCTCTGACAAAATGTCGTCCAGCAATCTCCGAAGGAGAGAGGGCGAAGATTTGCCGCGTGAGTGTGTCACACAGCTGCAGGCTCAAAGCACATCGAACATTCCACGCTGGGTCAACACTCGTCACACATCAAACTTGACTCTACTCCGAAGCGCTTGGTTGTTCTGTGCAGGCAAAGATAACGAGATAAGTCCAGAAGGATAAGCCTTCAGGAGTTTGGACATATCGCCGAGAAGCACCCCTCCGACCGTTTCAGCACTCCGCCAACCTTCCCGAGACGTGCAAGGCTTGCCTTGAAACAACCGGAACCCAAAAAAGAGGATGACATCTCCTCCTATTCAGGACTATAGTATTCCCAAAATAACCCAAACGCGACCCGACAAAAGATAGGGAGGTCCATTCCCCGGAGGCTCCCAGAGCTCTCTGCCATGGCACTTTCTGGACTCTTGGAGCTGGCCGCAGCGGCATTCTCCTTAGGAAAGGAACTTAAATCAAGTTACCCATATTCTGGTAACTTACGAGAACATGGAAACCCTGTATAACCATCTTGCGGCAAGTTAGCTTCAGGTCCTTGATAGGAACCCAGCATAGAGTTTCAGGGCTTTAGGCCTGGTCATTGACCTGCACCAGTTGCAAGCTGTCTAGCTGATCTTGGAGCTCACCGTTGCTAACTCTAGTGCCCCAGCAGAGTTCCGAGTATATAACCAACACAAAGCCTACTCAACACACGGCACACTGAAAGCCTGTACCTCTGAGCCGCAAACCCAAAACCTGCCCCCTAAAGGCGCAACGTCCTGTTCAACACATGCAGAAACATTTGTGGATAATCCCTGGCCAATGGATTCTCTGCCTTCTCACAATCTCTCCATAATCGGCCATCGCAAAACCTTCAAAAACGCAACCAGGCGTCTTGCATCAAGCTTCCATTTAGAAGCTTGTCTACACAGAGCTACAGTGAGCCGTATATACCCTGACATACATCGCCTAAACACACTTGAAGCTGCATGACAGTTTGTCAAAATGCTGAAGAAGCCCTGCCTGGGGCGACCCCCCAAGAAAGCTTCCCCGGGCTCGGAAAGGAAATCATCTTGTGAGAACCTCCTACACATCTTCTCAAAACGTGTGGTCTCCACGAGTTGTCGGCTTGAGGAGTCCCTATTTAGGGTTCTACGGGGCTGATTGAATGATTCTCATAATCCGAGCACTAGTTTAATAAAAGGGACCATATTAAAGAAACAAGGGACCAGATTTAAAGAATTTTTTTTGGGGGACCTATCCTGAAAATCGAGATATTCAATGCATTCCTATTCATTTTTTAATTCGTAGAGGTCCAAGAGCCCCGATGATGCGGGAATGCATTCCNNGCATTCCTATTCTTTTTTAATTGAATTCCAGGAGCCCCAATCATTCTTTTAATCTGGCGCCCTCCATTTCTTATTCTGGCGGGGGGGGGCCCCCCCAAATTAAACAAGTGCTAGGATTATGGAGGTGTTCTCATCAAAGGAGCCCCTCGTGGGGCGTCATGATTCAAAAGGGGTTTATGATACATTGGGGTCGATATAGGAGTTCTCAGAAGAATCCCCGTAAAATCCTATGACAGCCACCTGTCATCCTTCCGTACTACCTACATATCCCCGCCGTTTCTTGCGGACCCCCGATTTTGAGAAACACCTGTATCGGGGCCCCACTACTCTCGGAACCTGGCACAAAGCTCAGCCAAGAGTCTCGAAGCTCGACTTCCTTCCGCAAGCGTTCCCTCACCTCTCTTTCAAGGGCCTCAGTCAACTGCTGCATGTACTTATACCACTAAGGATTTGCTAGGACCTGGGATGATGAAAGAACTTCTAGGATTAGACCATACTCACTTAGCCCTGTGATTTCACTTTTTTAGGGCCTTGGCCACAGCAGGCATGTTTCAGATTTTCCTTCACTTGTCCAGGACATGAGCCCCAAGCGTCAAGAAGCTATCACGCTGGAGGTGCCGTGCCCGAGAATTCCTGTTCGCTTCTAGGTCCCCGGTTCCCGTCAGTCAACTCTCCTGAACGCTTCTTAAAGGCATAGACAGTCTCAACAAACCTGACACAAAAAAGACGTCAACTGGATATTTCTGAGCCATTTGCGCAGCCTTTCCAAAAGACTGTACAAAATTGGCATTAAGCAAAAACCAAGCGGGCGACAAGAAGTTGTGGAGCACTGTAAGACTTCAGGTTCATAGCATATAGGAGGCGCTGTGGAGTTGGGCTTCGGCTTTCGGACTACTATTTCTACTATTATTATTGCTATTATTATTACCATTATTAATACTAATGCTGTCACATGAGCGTCTGCCAGGCCCCATTGTGCGAGTCACAAGCGACCGTTTAGGTGCGTCCCAGTCGCAGGGACCTCGCCTTTCAACCGTTCCTCCGTCTCCTTCTTGAGGCGCCTGTGAGCTGGACATTTAGAAGCAGAGAGGTCTCCCCTGAGCTCCATGTTTTCAATAAAAGGGACAATTCTTGGACAACCCTTTGGAGCACTTTCCAAGACCTGACGCACCACAGAGCAGAATGCCCGTCATGAGGACAACGCCTCATCTTGCCAAACACCAAAAGGACTACTTTGTGAATATTGCAGTTGTCGAACTCCCAGTACTCATTTGAGAAAGAACCGGCAAGCAACCCGGAGGGCATATGCAAGCGGGGCGCCCAAGGATTTCAGCTTCAATGCTGGCGGCGCTACCACGGGCTTTCTCCTGTATATCTAGGGTTGGGAAGGGTTCGAGGGTCTGCAGTCCTTCTAGGCGTGAGATACAAAAGCTATTCATCCGGTTTTTGAAGGTCAGTATGATCACCCTTAAGCATTCAGATCTCGAGGTCGGCTGCATTGCAGAATCTTGCCAAACAAATTGCCAAGTACCCAGGGCTTCAATTCATGGTGAAGGGAGCTGCGCCAGGGATGTACATCGCTCATGTCTTGTGAGGTTTCACTCTAGCAGTTGTGAGCTGCCGCGGACCAGTGGGAATGCAAACAGGGCCAAATTCCCCTGAAACCGCTAAGGACATCAACAAGTTGTCAGATGTTTTCAGTCCACTCATGAGCCTAAATATTCCATTAGCAAGACTGCGCTGTGAAGATTCTTGCAAGACCTCTTTAGGGGCTACAACGAGAATGCTATGAAATGGTCACTCAGCCCCTTGTTCAAATCATGGATCCCTCAAAGTTCTGAATGGGGAATGCGCCTCCGCCTCAGCAACAATCTTCTCGCGGGCCTTCTGCTCTGCAGCTGCAGCCGAGACCGATGCGGCTACTGAGACGGCTGCCGAGTCGTCGGCCTCCAGCATGTTCTATGGAGAAGGCCGGGGACGTGCTAGCTATGGATCGTTCCTTGGCGGACCATTGCAGGATGCTGTCGCTTTGAAAGCCCTACCACAGATCCCCAACATCTGTTCATTTTAACCGGAATGCTATCTTCCCGCTGTGTCTAGGTGCCCGCTAAGCCGCTTGCCTTCCAACCCTCAACGCCTGTGACAAGTCGTAAGGCGTCGATGTATGGCCCCAAACACTTCCACATATATAGTTTGCGGTGGCTCCGAAGCAAATCCAAGGAGATGTATGAAGGAATTGCATGCCTTTTCCAGGGCCCTATTCATCTTAGACTACATCCAGTACGGCGCTGCAGAAACCAGACAGCAAGATTCATTGCTGAAGAATTATTCTAGTTATCACAGGATTAAACACATAGTAATAACAATAATCAGAATAATAATAGCAGTAATAGGAATAACATATATATCCCATTATGGTAGTTCCCAATTTCTTTTCATTTTTTCCATAATCCCTACATTCACGCCTGTTGTTGAAGCTTCTCCTTGGCGCTTCGTTCCAGATCAGGAAGAGCTGTCCTTGCAGCGACAGAGCAGGCTCCACAGCTCTGCTAGAACCCTAAATTACCCTAATCCCTATATGACCCTATACGTCCCTGTATAGACCTATATATTCCTAGATAATCCCCTATATAGCCCTATCTTCTTTTCCATTACTTCTTCCCCTTTCGTGGACCCTGTAATAGGCCCCCACATAGTGTGGATGTATGATCTGCTGCTTTCAAGACAACGAAATGAACGACTTCTTCTCAGCAAGTCCAGATGCACGGTTTCTCTGGTTGAAACCATGGGCCCCTAGTATGGGCCCTTAACACTGGGATCCTTATATACCTACTGTATACCCTATATGTACCCTTAAGGGCCCCCAGAATCCCCCTAAAAAGCCTAAGGGCCCATATTAGGGGCCCATACTTCTAACCTAAGACGGTTTTTTGAGACTAGTGTTGCTATGCCTTTGGGCTTGTCACACAGAAGTCCACCCTCAGAGCTCCGCCCATCTAGGTGAGAAGGGGATGCCTTCGTTACAAAACAATGTTCCATGGGACTTAAACAAACATGTTACAGGGTGAGGACATTCTGGGTGATTGTCCAATCTACCCGGCCAGACCGGTGTGGTTAAACATGTGGATAACTTCAGCATGTAACATGATTTATACACGGTAGAGGCTACAGGGGCGCACGAATCCAAGAAACTCCAGCACCACCCCTCAAGACCATGGGATCGCTGTCAGGGCTCATGGACACATTGGTGTACAAATCCTGATTTCAGCTGTGTGCTGCTTAGGTGAAGGGGCCGCCACCGGTACGCGTTACTGAGGATGCCTCAGAGAGAAACCCATGCAAGATCCCTTTCCTGTTGATGCCGCTTTTTGCTGAATGCCTACACCGCCACAAGCGGCTCGCCCTCCCTAGACGAGAATACCCCATCTTCTGAGGCAGGGGTCCTGGCTTTTTCCTCTGCCTCCTGCTCGATTCTTTTTTTCACCGCCTCTTCCTAGCATCATGCTGCGCTCAAGAATTTGTGAGTATGCAAGTCCTCTCTAACCGGACATCCACTTGTTCAGGTAGTGAAGTTCCGCTAGCGAATGGGCCACCCACCACATGACATGCACCGCAGGGAATCTGG